TATACAGTAGTACTGTATGTATAGTATATATACTAGTATTCTGCCATTGAATTCACTTTCAGCTCATTCAGAGCCATCTTGAGTGTGTACAGAGTCTGTGTTTGCAAAATTGGAGCACAAGGAGTGCATGACACTCAATATAAGTACTCATTTGAGCAAAAAAATATTTTTATTTTAACTGAGAAAAGCAATTAAAACAAAAGTAGGTGAAGTGGACTTGATAGTACTTGGACAGCACTTGCCTCCATGTTTCCAAAAACAGGAAGCAAATATATCAATTCACTTTTCAGTCATTCAATATACATGTATTTTATTTATTTTTAAAAGGAAATTTTTATCTGCATTAAGAGATAATGCATCTCCGTCGCATTGTGTACACAGTACACTGCCTTGCACTTTCGCACACTGGTATATATTGACAGTTGGGGAATCATTGTATTCTAGCCTGTTCGCACCACCGATGAGCTTTGCCATAACACTGCCAAGACCGTTGGAACTGAGGGAAAGAGGGAAAGACACCACCACAATAGTCTTGTACACAGCTCAGGTGAAGTGGTGACAGTCACCGCTCCGCTGTTTAGGGTAGGGGCCAGGGAAGGCCAGAGAAGTCGACGGGCCCCCCTAGCCCCGCGTCAGCCTCCAGGAGGCTCATGATGACGGCCATGGCAGCCTCGTCGTTGCCATCGTTGGAGGCGCCCTCGCCCTGGCCAGGGGAGTCCGGCATGACGGGCGGCATCATCTCCATCATGTCCTCGTCGTTGGCCATTCCTAAAACACACACACAGTCTTCTACCGAGCGTCACGAACTATACTGCTAAAGAATAGGGGGGTTCCCCAATCGTGAATATATTGTGAACGTTGCACAGCATTCATCAAGGAGAATGCGCGAATGGCCAAAGAGTCAAAGCACGTAATCAACGAAAGTGTTGGTTTTACAACCCCATTAATTGATATCACATAAATATAAACATAATTTCGTCTCACTGATGCCAAGATGACATTTCTGTTCGGGATACCTTGGTCGGGGTAGGCGAGGCTGGAGAGCGTCACGTTGTTCCGTATGGAGGCTGAGGGGTCCGCGCTGTCCGCGTTGCCGCCGCTCATGCCTATGCTCTGCTGGCTCCTCATGTCCCGCAGGCTGTCGAGGTCCTGGCCCTGACCCTGGCCGCCCGCTGCCTGGAGGCCCGACCCGTGGAGGGACGGGCTGACCTGACTCGAGGGGCTGCCGGGGAACGGCACCGACAACTGTACCGAAAGCAATGGTTCGTGGTCAGCAGTGACTGGAGTGGAGAGGGTGTTGACGCGCACCGGCCTCGGGCCCGGCATTTACCTGGAGGGCCTTGATGTCCTTCCCCTCGTGCTGGGGGCTGGCTAGAGACTCCGAGCCGGAGCCAGGCGGCCGGCCGACGTCACCGGCCAGGCTAGGCGACCGCTTCCTCTGCAACAAACGCGACGCAAATTAGACTCCTGGTCCTGACCCTAGGTAGGGGGTAGGATGGATAGGGACCGCGGCTCACCTCGACGGGACTGCACTCCGGTCGGGAGGGCGACGGCGTGCTGTTGGACGACGAGTCCCCGTTGCCCCGCACCCTCTGCGAGTCGAGCGCATCGTCCGCGATCTTCCGCCCGATCTTGTTGGCCTCCACGTGCGTCCAGGAGATGATTCGTTGTATGTCTCGCTGCAGGCCGTCCCGACCGCCAGCTGCGGGAGGCAAAAAGGACAAAAGTGCGTTTAGGTTCTGCTTCAGCGACCGACGACTGGTCGATCATGCACCGTGGCGTACTCACGTTGAGAGAACAAGTCGTAGCCAGCCTGGTAGCGCGCCTGCCCGCTGACTTTGTGCCGGGACGCCGACGCGTCCATGTGCCGCCCGTCCGTCCTGAGAGATATAGTCGCGCGGTCAGCAGGCTTTTTACTTTTGCTTCGTGATACGGACCATTAGAGTGTCATTAGGTGGTACTTACATGATCACAGAATTTTTCGCTATAATGTACTCTACGTCTTTGGTCCACGGATTCTTAAACGCCTTCCATTCGCTTTGTATACTAATGTAGGTCCCTTCCTTACTTCTAAACCAGTACACCTGGAACAAACAGGGTGGGGCGACATGAGGCGTACGGCTGGGAGGTGCCGGACGAGCTGGTGGCGACGGCGACGTCAGCTGCACGGCGCTCACCTTGGTGTTGACCACCTCGGTGCTGTTGAGGGCCGCCTTGTGCGAGTCGGCGAGGTGGTGCACGTCCTCCGGGTGGTAGTATTCGTACATGGACGTGCCCAGGAGCTCTTGCGGGAGGAAGCCGAGAGCGAGTGTCGCCCTGTGGAGCAGAGAAACGACTCATTTGTAGAGGCGGCTGAGCCGGGCAGCGGACGAGTGCCGGACCGGCGAGAAGTAGGGAGCAGGCCGACTTACCGCTGGTCGACGAAGAGGAACTTGCCGTCGATGGCGTGCCGTGAGGTGAACTGCAGCGGCCTGGTGTTGGGGATGCGGCCTCCGGGCCGCGGCCTCGGTGGCGGCGACAGCATGGGCTGCAGACGGCCCACGGCCACCAGGCAGGACAGGCACGCGCCGCCCGCGCCCGCTCCGCTCTCGCCCTCCACCAGCTCGGACTCCTCCAGGCCCATCTTCTCCGGCGCCCACGACTTGAGGTACCCCGTGCACTGGATCACGCTGTACTTGCGCTCTGCGAAGGATGCAACGCAAAGTTAGCGAACGGCACCCTATTGACCGCGGATAGGGATTTAAATTTTCCAGGTAAGTACTTTTTAAGATGAATTTTATTTTAATGTCTGAATTTTTTTCGTCAAAGTTTCATTTTTTGCAAATTATTCTAGATTTCTTTTTATTTCAGATTTTCTTCTGAAAAAATGATGGACTCTAAAATCCCTTCTCTGGAAACCCAAGTGTGTACATGAATGCAGTTTGGGTCTCCAGACTTCCACGGGGAGAGGACGGACGGCGGGGACTCACCGGCACTGTGCTGCTTCTTCCTCCGCGCCGAACACGAGGTAGTGTCGGCCTCCTCCTTGACGTTGACGGGCAGCTTGCGCTTCATGCGGCAGAAGAAGGAGCGACGCGCTCCCGGGCAGAGCCGCGACCCCACGGCCGGCATGTCCGTGCGCACGGGAAGCATGGCTGCGGGGAGAAGACGCGAGTTTAGTACCGGTCACCTGCGACAAGGGGAGGGCGGTCTCGAACGTTGTTCGGCTATCCTCACTTTTGGCATCGATGAGCCGCTCGCGAGGGCTGAGGTCAGAGGCGGACAGTTGCTCCTTTACCTTGGCGACATCCTTCGGATGCAGGATGTCGAACCAGCTCTGGCCAAGGAGGTCTCCCTGCAGCCGAAAAAGCAGCAGTTGAACAGTGTCGAGCCCAGCCCACTCACAATCAGTGGTGGACGTGGACACTTGAAACGAATTCGTGTGGGGAAATTCAACAAAATATTTTGTTCACGTCGAAACGAGTAGCAGATTTTAGCATCACAGCTCTTCTCATAGTGGCACGCACCTGGGAGAAGTTGAGCACCTGCGACACGGACTCGGACACGAACAGGATCCGGCCTCGGTCACATCCCACTACAAAGAGAAAGCCTTCAGCTGTCTGGAACAGAGCGTATACTTAGGTCATAGGGCCAGCGTGGGTCAAAGCAAATCACAGGACCGGAAAACACGACTCGCACAGCGGCCATCCCGGCCCGCGACCCCCACCCACCTGGGCCCGCCCAAACACGACGTGGCGCATGCAAGGCGTCTTCTCCGTCCTACGATTTTATCATTTTTCTCACCCACCACATTTTTATTTTCGACGACTACCAACGTGGCCGCCGGGGCGGGGGCAAAGGCGAGGAGTACTTCACAATAGATTCAAGCGTACATCGATTTTTTTCTATTTT